TGTACAATAACTAAACACTTCTGACAGCTGAAACTGCGTGTTATTGCTTTGGAGATAACCACTAGGCTTGTTACTACTGAGATGACAAGAGATGTGTGAATCTATGCATTGCTTGCAACCAGTGAGCCATGTGCGGCATTCCTTATTTTAATTTTCTTCATATTAGTATGGCGGAGCTCAAAAATAAAAATGCTAACTACGCAGTTGAAATACATGTAAGTGAAAATATACTAGCCAGAAAATTTGTAATTCTGCACAAATAGGCAAGTGACACTGCTGTTTCCTAGTTCAACTTTACATCTTCTTGCAGTCACCTCACCACTTCCAGTCTGCTAATTGGACAATAAATCAACGTCAACACAGTGCTGGTTTATGGATAAATGAGCAGGCTGAAAATGGTAGCTGCAACAGGATACTCTGGACTCATATTAAATATTAGTTCAATCAGAATGCATGTGTGTGCGAATGGTTGATCATGTGTTTCAGTTTCTTTCTCAAGTTTGCTACTGGTGAAATTTGGAAATATGCCCCCCAAAAAATCATAAATGTGTGAAAATGCAGGCACCATAAGGTGCATGTACCTCTATTTTCTCCAACTGGTTCTTTATGTGGACTGGGGCCACCAAATCTGACCTAACTCTGCAATGAGGGTTGCCAACTTTTATAATTATCAGGATCCTTAGCATGTCACCCAATTATGTAGTGAAATGCTTCAGCAGATAACAGAGAATCAACTGATTTAAAGTGTTAAAACATCTACTGTGATAAAAAAAAATTATTCCTGGTCACAGGTGCTCAGTGTTTCAAAAAAGTAGTTGGGTGGAGGAAAGAGCAAAAGAATTAGGCCCCTTGCACACAGGCTGATTAGGAGGGGATCTGTCCAAGGATCCCCTCCTGATTGGAGTGGTACAGATTGGATGCCACCGCTGTGACATCTGTCTCCTTCTAGTTATTTCCTCCATTTTGCAATGAAGGAAAAAAACCTGAAATGACCTGACCCTATGTTGGTCTACGGGGAATTGGATGCATACAGACATGTGTCAGTTTACATCAGATTACCCCTGATACAGCACGATCAGGTTCATCGAAAAAGAACACTGTTCTGTTTGATTTTCCGAACCTGGACGTAATTGAGGGTAACTGTAAACGGACTCCCTTCCTTTCACACATGGCTGCCCATAGACTTGGGCAGCCGATCAGGTCCGCCTGAAAAACTGACAGGTGGACCCAATCAGACCGCCGGTGTGAAAGGTGGTTCATTAACCTAAAGATTGACTAGAAAATGTCCATTTGCAATATTTCAATTAAGCTGCATTACATCTTCAGTGCAAAATTTGGCAATTAGGCAGCCAGTAGACATAAATACCAGGCAAGGACCAGTAACAGATGGACAGAGATTACATGTACAATATAACAGGCAAGTGATGTAATAAAGATTATAGACAGGGGCCAGTAATAAGTACGTAATTAGTGTTAGAAAGTATGAACTCTTGCATATTAATAATCTGTATTTTAATATCCATTCAGCAGCTGGAGCTCTAGTGCCTATTCATGTGTGTATCTGCATATCCTTATCTACTTTGCTGAAAGCAGCCTGTTTAACCAGTTGACATCCGCGGTGTTAAACCCCCTTCCAGCCTAAATATACACATACAAATGGATGAGTCAGGGCACTGATTTATCTAATCTCTCCCTTTACTATCTCCGATTTCCATGGGATTCCTCCAAAGTTAAATTAGAGACAGAGAAGCAAACCGGCAAAAAAGGAGCGCTCTGGAAATCCTTTGTCTCATATTTACCCTATAATCAGTACCCCAAGCCCTTTTCAATTTAGTCTCATAAAGAAAGGAAGGAACGGAAGGCGAGTTATCATTTAAATAGGTTATTTTTACTAGAAATGCCCTTTATTGCCACAATGTGAAGGAGGAATCATAGGAATTCCCAAATAAACAAATTATAACTGGATACTTCATTTAAATTGAACTGTACACTTCTATCTTTCACATTCTAAATATGCCCCATGAATATGACTGTTAAGCATTTTATAATTTCAATCTAATCACTACATGTATTTAAAGACCTATTCTTCACAGTATGCAGTGTTCAGATACAGGTCAGTAAATTTTCAGAAGGCAGAGCTGAGACTCAGAAAAGGGAGTCTTATAGATTTCATGATCCACACAGACAGATTCAAATGCTGAAGGCAAAGCAGAATGAAAAAGTGTACAGATGGGTAGTACAACATCTTCTTTTTATGCGAGCCTGGACTTCCACTTTAAGAAAAAAAAGCATGAGGAAGTACACAAATTGCTCTTTCAGAAAGGGTCAGACCAGGATGAAGAATCAGCAATAAGACAAATATTTTCTCTGCTAGCAAACCGGCAGTGTCCTCACACACATATACCAGTGAGACGCTGAAGTAAAGCTAACGTCATTATTTTTGCTGCAGAAGCAGTTTTCCAAGCCCCATCTCACCGCAGTGTTAATACAATTACCACATTCCAATGCACACACAGGCTGTAAGGGCTAAGAGCGCGGATAACAATAAATACAAAAAGACATAATTCCATCACTCCATAACAGTAGACTGAGGCTGATTAATTCTCGGGAGCTTTCTTTCCCTGTAGTTCTAATTATCTTGGCCTTATCTACCAAATTATAATTGGTTATCTGCCCAAGGAGGGGTTTAGGAAAGGGTTGGGGTGATCGGGACAAGTATCTCAAAGCCTATACGGTAGCTGCAGCCAGACCATCTGTGTCTGAACTTTTTTAAGGTGTACTATCCTCAGCATTATAATGTAGAATATAATGCTTTACAGCCCTTGTAATTGGCCAATGATTAATACCAAATAATTTCACCAATATACACTATATTGCCAAAAGTATTGGGACACCCCTCCAAATTATTGGATTCGGGTGTTCCAATCACCTACATGGACACAGATGTATAAAATCAAGCACCTATACTGCTTCTTCAAACATTTGTGAAAGAATGGTCCGCATCTCAGGAGCTCAGTGAATTCAAGCGTGGTACCGTGATAGGTTGCCACCGGTGCAGTAAGTCCATCCATGAAAATTCCTTACTACTAAATATTCCACGGTCAGCTGTTAGTGGTATTATAACAAAGTGGAAGCAACTGGGGACAACAGCAAGTCAGCCACGAAAAATGACTGAACGGGGTCAGCACATTCTGAAGCGCACAGTGCGCAGAAGTCGCCAACTGTCTGCAGAGTCAATAGCTACAGACCTCCAAACTTCGTGTGGCCTTCAGATTGGCGACAACAACCGTGTGTAGAGAACTTCATAGAATGGGTTTCCATGGCCGAGCAGCTGCATCCAAGCCTTACATCACCAAGTGCAATGCAAAGCGTCGGATGCAGTGGTGTAAAGCACGCCACCACTGTACTCTAGAGAAGTGGAGACGTGTTCTCTGGAGTGACTAATCACGATTCTCTGTCCGGCAATCCGATGGACGTGCCTGGGTTTGGCAGTTACCAGGAGGACTGTACTTGCCTGAATGCATTGTGCCAAGTGTAAAGTTTGATGGAGGTGGAATATGGTGTGGGGTTGTTTTTCAGAGGTTGGGCTTGGCCCCTTAGTTCCAGTGAAGGGAACTCTTAAGGCCTCATCATACCAAGACATTTTGGACAATTTCATGCTCCCAACTTTGTGGGAACAGTTTGGGGATGGCCCCTTCTTGGTCCAATATGACTGCGCACCAGTGCATAAAGCAAGGTCCATAATGAGAGTTTAGGGTGGAGGAACTTGACCGGCCTGCACAAAGTCCTGACCTCAACCCAATAGAACACCTTTGGGATTAATTAGAGCGGAGACTGCGAGCCAGGCCTTCTCATCCTACATCAGTACCTGACCTCACAAATGCGCTTCTGGAAGAATGGTCAAACATTCCCATAGACACACTCCCAAACCTTGTGGACAGCCTTCCCAGAAGAGTTGAAGCTGTTATAACGGCAAAGGTTAGGCCAACTCAATATTGAACCCTACAAACTAAGACTGGGATGCCATTAAAGTTCATGTGCGTGTAAAGGCAAGTGCCCCAATACTTTTGGCAATAGTGTATTTGTTACACATTTTCTGGAGTCAAGTACTCACTTTTTATATAAATATTTTTTCAAACTTTTTTTTAAATCACCAGGAATTAATTATTTGCTGTAATGGGATAATACCAAAATCAGTGAATTAGTGATTTAGTGATTTCTGATGATTTGTGCCAGCTTTGAGTCCATAGAACTGCCCATATGTTTAGGCCCTGAAGGAAGGAAGGAAGGAGAAGGTCTTTAAGCCGCTGAAACGTGTTTGCTGTTCTGTATTGTCGTTTGTGAACTAATTGAATTTTTAAAAGATTTTGGATTCTCAAACTGTCTTGTTTGGCTCTCTCATTGGGCCTAATATATACATAGATTGTTATTGCTGTCTGTGTCCTTGTTTCAAGAGTTTCCTCACTTACTGTCTGTTAAAACCCTTGCAATCAAGACAGAAAGTATAAGAAAATCTCTCTAGCAGAGCCCCAGATAGCAGTACAAAGCAGACAAGGGTTCTAATCCTTCCACACTTTTTCCAAAACTAGAAAAATATTATTGCAGTTAGGCATGTAACTATTGCAAGTACCTGAATTTATCATGGTATCAGCCTCCAATAATCTTGTACAGTAGCACTGGTAGAAGAACAGGCAACATTAAAAGGCAAACAAGGTCTGTTGCAGTGAACATGATGACAAGAGGGGAGCAGAGATGACTTGTCAATATTCAATATTATTCAATAATATAGCCTGCTGATGTTCAATCAGCAGGCTAGGGTTTGTTCTTAGGCAATTTGTGCTGTTGCAGCAGTAGTAGTTTAGGACCTATCTACAAGATTGGCTTAAAAGAATGGAAAGTTCTTATACAAACATTTATTTCAACTGTGTACTTGGAGGCTTCCCTCAAGTTCAGATTTAGATATAAAGTGCTTGTCTGGTTATGATTAACTACTGTAATACCTCTGCTATCAGCACCACAATCACACAGTCTTCCTTCTCCTGCTGGTTGAGCTCAGATATCAAGGAGTTGAGGGTGTCTGTCAGGTAGGAGTGCACCTCCCTCTTCACACTGGGGATCCCCATTACTATAGATACTGGCAAACAGAAAGAGACATTAGAAAGAAACATTAACATATCTTAAGTACAATACTGGATATTAACAGGTGCAATGGAATATGGAACAATATAGCTGATCATTGTGTGTTTTCAATAATCGTGTTAAACTAATAAAGAATGAGTACAGTGATACAGGAAATATAACAAAGATTCCCCTAATCGGCATTTCCTAAGAAACCAAAAATCAAAATGTATCAATTGATCAGTAACTGTAATTTGTTTAAGAATGGATATTTGGGCTGTCCACGAGGTCTGCAGACCTCATAGGAGACCTGGGAAATGAAAAGGCTGCGGACTTGGATAAAAAAGCTGTAAAAAGGGTCCTAAAAGAGAAGTAAAATAAAGAAAAAAATATTTTTTCGGCTTTCTTGTCTTTTGTGTCACAGCAGTACATTTACTAAAGTACTCTTGTGACCCAAAGTCAGCCGATAGCGGTCTAATGCCCGCAAAATGCTGAAAGGGCAAAACCACGCTGCAGCCAGACAGGATCCTGGCAATATTGTAGGGATCCACACGGCTGCCTAAGTGACAGCTGTCTCTCTCTTTCTAGAGCCAGCTGTGCTCACCCCCCCCCCCCCCCCCCCCCTCCTGTCTGTAGCTCCAATGAGCACTGGAGGAACAGATAGAGATTAGGGGGAATCCCTTCTGGAAACCGTGACTGACAATCACTACCCTCCGCAGGGAGAAGAGTCAGTGAGCTGACTTACATGATTGCTCAGCTCTCGTTATAGAGCTGTCCCACGCCAGTTCTAAGCTGCGGGGACAGTATGTTTTATTCTCCCGATACTTCTTTAACAATTTACAATTATATGGACATGTGTAAGGTATGAGCACATGGTTTCAAAGGTTGTCTATTGTCCATATTCACAGACAATGTATCTTTGCCGGTTTGATATCTATAGTTCCGTCAATTTTGCAGAGCTATCATCCCATTTGTGGAGAACAAATAAATGCTCCAGACAACCTTGCAACATTGGTAGCATAAAAATGTTTACTAGGTTACCAAAACACTTTTACATAGTAGCCATAGGTTTTCCTTGCCTGTGAAGAGATAAGACAACACTCATGGGTAGGGCAAGTGGGCAAGAACCGACCACCATGTATGGACTTTGGGTATGTTTATGGCTACGCATTCAACATAACCCAAGAACTAAAGCTGCCTAAAGTTTTTGAATGTTCTTCTGTTGATAATGGATGCACATAATCCCTGGTGGGTAAACCTTTCCTAATGGCTACTAGGTTATACTCTTCTTGTCCTGAAATTTATATCAGTCTATCTACCCCTGACTTATCAAAAAGTAGACCTAACATACAACACCAGCTTAACACCATGAACCGCCTCTGGTGTGACCAAACATACCAAGAAAGAATCACAAACAAAACTTACCTCCCGTACGACCTTGACCCACGTGTATTGCTGGCTGCAAGCTGTTCTCCTTTGATAGCAGGTGGGGAAGGTGATGGAAAATGGTCGGTAGATGTAATACATTCTTGTTTGTGATGTTCCACAGTTTCAACTTGGTTTCATCTTAAAGAAAAACATCCAACAAGCAGACAAGGTAAATTTATTTTGAGATTGTGATTTCTAAATTAACGTTAAAAAGCCTGATAAGGATTTAACACAGAGCACACTGTGCAGACGACTGAACTCATTTGATGCAGCCCCCTGATTGATGAGGTTTGGCCCGCGGATTGAAAAAGAATCATTAGTTCAATTTAGCTTGGAGAAAACATGTTTTCTCCTTAAAAACCCTAGTATGTACTAAGCAATTTACTCAGGGGGAGAGGTTAGAAGAATCTATTTAAAGGGACACAGAAGGTGAAATACAAATGAAATACAAATGAGCTTCCATTAGTGCACTGGTATTTTTGTTAGTCTGCTTTGAGAATTTTTAGTTTTTCCTTGCAATGGAACTGTAATACGGAAACAGGCCATTTAAAGGGTACTTGCCATAAGAAACATTCAGGTTGCCTTTACGAACCTCTCCTTTGAAAAATGCTAGTTGCCTGGGTCTTATGCTGAGCCTTTGGTTTCCATATACAGAGTCACTAACCTGAACAAATATTCTTGACTGGGGCAGTCACTAGAAGGTGAGCTCAAGGGCCTTACCCAGAGTTAACATTCAGCGGAGGCCATGCCTACAAAACCAATTGACAACTATTACTATCTCTCGCACAAACGCACATGGCCCCACTTGCTTCCTTTGAACAGGAATGCAAGGCTCTGCTCCCCACACTGCACCGCTACAGACGACTTGCCATCACTGGACACACAGCCACTTTGCCACACTCTTCCACTGCACAGAAGCACACTACCCTGCACACTACCCTACTCACTATCACTGCACCAACGTGCAGTTCTGCACTCACTGCCAATCCCTGTATTCACTGCCACTACACAAGCACGCACTTTTGCCCTCACTACAACTGAGCCAACATGCACAACCCAACTCCCCACCAATGCACCATTGCGCACAACACAATTCTACACTGCACAGACACGCATCACCCCACTCTCTGCCACTGCACCAACGTGCATCACCCCACACTTTGCCTTTACACCAACATGCTCCTTCACACTTGCCGACACTGGACTAACGCAATGTTTTTGACTCTCCGCCAATGAAATAATGAACACTGCTTCACTTCTGCTACTGCACCAACAGACAATTCTTTTATCTCCATCACTGCACCTATGCGCACTTCCCTCTCCGCCACTGTACCAACATACACTTCTTCACTCTGTCACTTCAATAGTGCACATTTTTATATTCATTACGTTCAAGGTACATGCACACTTTTGTTATTATTTTCATTTGACTGAAGATATTGAGAATCACATTGCCATAAAAAACTAAAAGATTAAAACAGAAAGATTAGACTACTCCATTCAAAGCAGTTTTTCCCTTGAAATCAGAAAGCAAAAAATGTGTTTGTGTCCAACACCCCAGCCCTAACTGGTAGCAGTTAAACCTTTTATAACCCCTTCAATCAACTGAGTCAAAAGAGCCACTAATAAAGTCACATGCGATAACTATGCTTTAAGGTGATAGACTTATTCCAACAAAACACAGCTCAGCCTCAGGAACCCGTTCATTGAAATATAATGCATTTCAGAGGCCGGGCTGCATCATGATGGAAAAAGCAAGTAGACAAAGTAAAGCGATTGGAGAATACTATATCACACCAAATAAATGGGTACCACAGATTTATTGTGGAGACAGCGCAACACCCGTTAAAAGCATACTGACATTTCAGGACCTTGAAGGGGTTTCTCCTCAAGGTGAGGAACTACGAATACCCACTTATTTCACGGTGTATGCCATTAGGAGTGGAACTTCATATATTACTGTAGCACATGCCAGAAGGGACCTGCAGAAGCTGCTGATTCTAGGTGCCTTTTTAAATTAGCACTGGGACAAATAGCTGTTCCTGTGCCATTCTAAAATGGCACTCAGGATTTAATTGGTTCAGACATGGTTTTATTGTTTGCCAACTGAAAAACAGACACAGTTGAAAATCAAGGGCCACAAAAAATAGCAATAAAAACATGCACATTATTCAACATCCTCATCATTACCTAAAAAATTTGCTCCTACAAAAACGGAAAGGGGATAAAAAAACCTTTATCTGGTTTATATTTGTGGGTTTCCCCCCTCACTGTCTGTCCCTACAACATGATGTGGCAAAATTCTCCAGTGGGGACAAAATGCAAAACACTTTTTTCCCCCTGTAAAATGGGAAAGAATTAGAACCACTGTCATGTTCATAATACCATCAGGTTATTAATACTGTTCAAAGTATTTATTCTTCCTCTTCCCAAATCTTTACAAAACTATAAAAAACTGTTTTGCCCAGAGTTAGGCTTAAAGGATATTTAAACCCTCCCGTTTTTTTGCATATATCTACTGCTAGCATATTTAACCAATGGGTTAAATATGTGTTAAATACTGTACAGTCAGTTTTCTTTATGCACACAAAACCTTGACATTATTAACAGCACAACCACAATTCTGTCCAGCAAATAAAAGATTTTGAATTTTCATAGTCCAAGGTTTAAAAAAAAAAAAAAGCTACTTTTGATAGCCAAGTCCTTCTGTGGTGCCCTCATTATCCAGAGCAGTTGCACGGGCTCCTATATCATATGGAATAGTAATTGCAAAACTGTCAGCTTTGTTAAAAAGAAGTCATAAAGCAGAATAGAACATAAGATTACGATATAGAAAATAAAGCCAAATACCATTTTTCCTGCGCCTGACATAACCGGCACAGTCAGAGCTGAAGACACAGGTCATGTCTACATGAATCACACCAGGCACTGACAGTTAAGGGCAGTCTGCCATAAAGAGTTTGCTCAGTTCTAGAAAATGTCTCACCAGATAAGCTGCTCCATGTGCGGTTGATGTCTCGTAAGGCTTGTTTTTCGGATATGGCCCTCTTTATTTCATCCAGGACCAGGTTCAGTTCCTTGGAGCGCTTTAGGTTCTCCTGTTCAGCAGCATGAAGACGATCCCTGAGGGCCAGGAACTCCCTCTGATATACATCCACCACATCTCCTGAAAGCACAAGATGGAAATGACGTTAGCAGAAAGTTTTACTTTGACCATTACTGTAAGCTGAAGCATTATTTAAGAACAGAATATAGTATTTAAAAATGAGAACAAAAATTAATTTCCATGAAAGTTCACACTAATCTGTATTGTGGCTTAAAAAATGCTGCATGCTGTGTTACCCTCTAGGTTTGTAGTCAACACTCAAGAATCCATCCGTACCAATATGACTGGAACAAATCCTGACACAAACTAAGTCTCTTTAGGATAACATTTGTCAAAGATGTGCTTTAAAGTGAAACTCCATTCTTGGAAAGCATTAAAAAAAAATCACCTCCAGGTGAACATACATATATATATATACATACATACACACACACACACATATACATACACGTAGGTTGGCTACTATCACTGCACCCTACGGAGGACGCATTCAAAGCTGCATGTAGGAGACTTGGAACAAATGGCCAAACGCACCTCAGATCAATGTAAAAAAAACAAATGGCCATGTCTGACTTCCTAAATGGTAAAATGCTCACCAAAAACATAGATCTGAATGAGCCCTGAAACTGAATACTAAGGTCTGCCTTTACTAAAACCACCTGATTGGAATAAGTGTTGTTCAAATACAGACCTAGGCCACAACATTATATGTAGAGCTGCAGCTAACGATTATTTTCGAAATCGATTAGTTAGCCGATTATTAAGTTCGATTAATCGGTTAATCGGATAAACAATCAAATACATTTTTAAAAATGGCTCCAGTGATGGACTACTAGTTTGTATTGAGATTGCACTCCAGCTCATGAGCCTTTGAAGTATCTTACTAAATGATTAACCTCATACTGCAGGGAATGCCTTTAATGTTAATTCAAGCTTTGTAAAAACTTCTAGGAAAAAAAACAATTAGCCTTTCACATGAACAGGGAGATGGAAATTCTGAGTAGAGTGTGACAGAGTACTGTTGCTGGTTTCAAGAGAGTTATAGAAGGACTATTTTGGAAGTTGTATAAAATCTGCAGATTAAAATAGAAATAGGTTTTTAGTAGCATTAAAGAAGAACTAAAAAAAAAAAAACCTCACTGCAAGGGTTAAGAAAAAGTTTTTCTGGCGTTCTTCTTTAAAGTGACATTAAACCCTCAGATTTTTTAACATAAACCAATACTGTAATGTGCGCCTTACTGTAATCCATGGTTGTTTCCCTTCTCTTTGCTGCTCTTCCTTTTAAATCCTCATCTCTTCTCATGCTGGGGGAGAACTTCCCTTTTCAGCTCAGGGCCTCTTGCTGTAGTGCTGGCTCGGGTTACAAACCTATACAAACCTATAAACAGACACTGTGTATCCATTCCTGAGACAAGGCAGTCTGCTGCAAAACAGAAGTTCTCCCCCAGCCTGAGAACAGATACAGATTTAAAAGGAAGAGCAGCAAAGAGAAGGGAAACTACCATGGATTACAGTAAGGCACACATTACAGTATTGTTTTATGTTAAAAAATCTGAGGGTTTAATGTCACTTTAAGTTTGTTACTCATGTTTGGAAATGCTTATTTTAATTAGCTTAGACTTTAAACAGCCATGGCTCTTGTCGATACATAGGCATGGGATGCTGAGTGGTATTTTCTGCATGTGTCTGAATTCAGGATTTTGGAACCTGGACTCCAATATGTAAGAGCTCTATTTCCAAATACTGTATGTCCTGGTGTGGGCTGGTAACTCTTTTTCTATGACATACATTCTTAGCAAAAGAACTATGTTTTGGTGCACAGTAACCCACACCAACCAATCAGCATCCACTTTACTAAAGTCAGGTTAGTACAAGATGGTTTATAATTGGCTGCCATGGAGACTGAACTTTGCACAATTCTCCTTTCACTTTTTTCATTGAATAATCAAAACCGGCAGCTTTATTTTTGCAACTAACAAAATGGCCAAAAGCGGTTGGGAAAATTCTTCAGGTATAGCAGGAAACCCCTTTAAATTAAATTTAACAGCGTGACAGAAGATATCCAACTGGCTTCTTAAAACTCAATTTCCAGGCTGATTAAAATCAAATAGACAATTCTCTGAATTCCATTATAACCAGAACGCACCTCTGGTGACTGCTTTTACATAAGGTAATTGTCGTTTGTTTTCTGCTCTGGTAAGTAGCTCTAAATGTGAAAGAAAGCTAGTTTGTGACATCCGTGGAATTCTAGGTGAAAAGTCTGCACACTGTTTATTGCAGCGTTATCTGTAATAAAGTAACTACAATCCTTCGGCACAAAAGTGGTTTAACGGCTTTTTGCAGAAGTGATTAACATGAGCCAGTGCCCATAATGAGGGTAGGTGACCTCTACTTTTCAAAGGACAGGCTTAGCTTGTTTAACCCACATAGCAACAGAAAATGCTATAAAACTTGTACTTTAAAAACATACACAACAAAGAGTTGAATCTACCAGTCTATGGCCATCTATAAAAGAAACCCAATCTTCCTTCATACCTCCCAATTTGGTTAGATGGGAAAGAGGGACACATTACAGCATGAAATATTTAGGCACAGGACATTCCCCCACCATGCATACAGTAACACAACATGAGTATTAATGCACAAAAAATGATTGGTTTACTCAAAATAGCTTCTTTCCATCACTACTTTTCCTTCATTTGGGCTTTTTAAAATAACAAATGGAATAACTTAAAGGATAGATAAAAGTTTTAGTGCAGTAAAGCACTGTTGATAGTTTAAGCAGAACTCTTTTCGCACAAATAAATGCTTTCTTAAATACCCGTTTTTTTTGCTTTTCATGATCCCATTTTGCTCGGATGTCACCAGATTCCCAAAAGTTAAATATTAAATCTAACTTCTGCCCCTCTGTGACAGGCTTATTTCCAGGTGTGCAACACTGAGCGTCGCACAGACATTTCCTGCGGGAGCGGAGATGATCAGACTCCCCTCTGCAGTCCTTGAGACTACAAAGGTCAACACGCTCCCAACGCTGATACTGGACAAGATTGAATGGCTCGCAATTACCATTCAATTGCACCCATTCACCCAGCCATGCCTACTTAAGGCCCACCCCCCTGAGACCCACCATTGCACAATGTAGCAGTATTGAGCTATGGGCAGTTATAACGGAGCTAAAATGTGCCCCATTTACTGCCCACAGCAACGGCCAGAACCACCAACAGTGATGCCCATGGCCAGCCCTGAAACTACAGAGGTCACAAAGAGGCATGGGACATAAAGGTTCAGGATATCATGTGACGGTGGGCAAGAACCTTCTACAGGTGCACAGGAAATTTCAATAGTGACCAAGATTAGGAATGACGTCAGACAAGACTCAAGTGAGCTGTATACCGCGCTACAAGCTACTGATAACAATACTGACAAGGTGGTCAGAATTGCAGAGCAGAGATACAATGGGGGGGAATCCATCAACACTGGAGCAGAGAAAATCTGGAGCAGTTGCCCACAGAAACCAATCAACATCTCTCTTCAGTTTGCTCAGGTAAGATTTGAAAATGAGAGATAGAAGCTAATTGGTTGCAGTGCAAATCTGCTCCAGATTTTGTCTGCTCTAGTTTTGATAAATTCCCCCTTATATAGTGTGTGTGTGTGTGTGTGTGTGTGTGTGTGTGTGTGTGTGTGTGATCCTGGAGTTGAGCTTTAAATAATACATTTGGACAGAGGGATTTGGTTCCAAAGAGGGACAGTTGGAAGGTATATGTCTTTGAAAGGCTTCTATTTTTCATCCAAGCAAAGCTATTGACTAAAATCACCTTGCTGATGTTATACCGTCCTAGCATCAGACATATATTTTGTCATGTTAAGTGCACGCTCCTAAATAATGTGTTTAGGTATAACACATTCAGGTATTTATTACCTCTCACAGAGATCACAGAACTTCCCCTGACAATGCTTTTGTTTGCTTTTCACTCCAGAAGGAAGGCACCATCTTTTTTGAGGCCTTAAAGGAGAACTATGGGGTAAAGGCTTTTCCCCATAGTTCTCCTTAGGGTAACGGGAGGGCACAAACTAGCGTCCTCCCATCGCCCTAGTCTCAGTATACCGCGAGCTGTAGCTAACAGTATACTGAGGCGCCGCAGCTGAAGCGGATCCCGACAATTATGTCTGGATCCGCCCAGCTGCGTGAGTGACAGCTGGCTCTACCTATCTAGAGGCAGAGCCAGCTGTACCCGCCCCCTCCCCGTCCGTTCCGCCAGTCAGCACTGGCGGATCGGAGCGGGGAGGGGGAAATCCAGCCCCTGCCCTGTCACGGCAGAGAGCTTGTAACGTTAGGTCTGTAACGTTAGGTCTGTAACGTTAGGTCTGTAACGTTAGGTCTGTAACTTGTAACGTTAGGTCTGCTTTAATCTGGTGTTCTAGGCAGAGAGCAGTGACAGGATCGAGCTGTGAGCAAACGCCGGTATGTGTTCGCTCAACCTCCCGATCTACTAAGCCGACCTGTGACAGTCTCATTGTCACAGGTTGGCTAGAACTATGAGGTGAGTGAAATGCACTCACCTCATAGTTCTCCTTTAACAGGACCACTATCTACTGTCTGGAGTGAGATGTTGGCCTGAGATGACACAGTCATGCAAATCCTAGTATCTGTTTAGTTCTCAGCTGTTGAATGCAGATCAGCCCCTGCTGGATTCCCTTACCTTGCAACAAAGTTACAATTCTGTAGTTTGGTCAATGTGGGAGAGGCAATTGAGGAAATGCTTCCTCCTGCCTGTCTTCTATCAAAGATTGTGACTGGGTTGGAATGGGTCACGTGGTCACACATTTTAACGTAATCACGCCCACTTTTTTGGCATTGAAATATGTGGCCAGCAAAAGGAGAAGAATTGCAGAGCTTTCTCAGCTGTTCCACGGCAGATCGGCATCGCATCGATCTGCCCTGAAACAGATGATCGGTCCTGAAATGTCACTTCTATCTGACTTTGTGGAATGTGAGATAGCAGTCACAAAGTCGCATAGAAATGGCATTTCCGGACCGATCAGCTGTTTCAGGGCAGATC